CTTTGTGTACCACAAGAACAACCACTAACATTTAAGTATCTTCCTGTACTAGGCTGAAGGGGAAAAAAGGGAATGTGAGTTAATGAGAAGGTGACTTGACTGCCATCTTTCAGGGGCTCCGTTCTGTTTTGTTTTTGCTAACAAGAAAGGTACTATGAAATTACATTCCATTCTAGAGGAAACCTCAGTAAAAAGAGAAGCCTCTACTGGCAAGAGCAAACGGTAACAGTGGAAGGTAAATTAGCAAGCAAGCAATCTTTGTTTTTTTAATTGATGATTTAAAAAAAAAAAAGAAAAGGGGACCAGCCCTGTGGCCGAGTGGTTAAGTCTGTGCTCTCCACTTCAGTGGCCCAGAGTTTCACTGGTTTGGATCCTGGGTGCGGACCTGGCCATGCTCATCAGGCCATGCTGAGGTGGCGTCCCACACAGCACAACCAGAAGGCCCTACAACTATGTACTAGGGGGACTTTGGGGAGAAGAAGGAAAAAAAAGATTGGCAACAAATGTTAGCTCAGGTGCCAATCTTTAAAAAAGAAAAGAAAAGCAAGAACAATCTCAACTTTGGGCACAACTAACTAGATAATAGATTTCCTACAGAAACATTTATTAACATGAAAAGAAGGCATCAGTACTTACTTCCCTGGGAAGATTTTAACAGACTCGAACATTTGAAACTTTCCTTTAAAATCTTTTCAGTTTTATAAGAAGGGAAGCAAAATAATTTCAAGAATCACATTTAAAATAGATGGGATTACAGTACTTCTGTCAGCAATGCTGAAGAAATCATCTAGAGAAAAAAGCTCTAGAGGTTTCCAATTCACCTTCTGTATACATAATCATTCTCAGAATGTCTACATCATACCCTGTTTAAGATCTTTGGATCAATCACACAAAACCTAAGCATAAATTCCAAATTTTTGTTAAATCTATAAAAGGTCCATTCATGATATGATCCCCTTATCTACAGCAACTAGCACAATAGGTACTTAAAAAACATTTGTAGGTGAATGAACATGCAACTTTCCCAAGATCCTATTAGCAGCATATATCTATATGATATCAGAGTACATCTGTGTTATGTGAAACTATATTATACAAAGGCTCCCAGGTTAATAAATGTAAGCAACACATTCGTATTTGGGATTTCAAGCATAACTTTAAAAATCTCCTATGTTTACAGAGATTATGGAATATCCAACATTCAAATATTTACTGAGCACCCACTATGGGTGCGGGGGAGATAAGAGTGACTGATTAGGTGATTTCTAGATACATCAAGTTTATCACTAAAATAATAAAATTTAACCATTTAGAAAAATAAACCCTTCTTGCCTACCTTCAAATCCATTCCTGACTTTGCCTTCTATAATGATTTAACCCCCGTTTTATTACTAAAAAATCTAAACATACAGAAAAACTGAATGAATTTTACAGTGAACACTCCTATAACCACTACCAAGATTCTACCATTAACATTTGATCATTTTAGTGTTTGCTTTAATTATCTATCTATTTATCTTTTTTCTTTTTTTTTGAGGAAGATTAGCCCTGAGCTAACTACTGCCAGTCCTCCTCTTTTTGCTGAGAAGACTGGCCCTGAGCTAACGTCCATCCATGCCCATCTTCCTCTACTTTATACGTGGGATGCCTACCACAGCATGGGTTTTGCCAAAGAGTGCCATGTCCACACCTGGGATCTGAACCGGCGAACCCCGGGCCGCCAAAAGGACTGTGCGAACTTAACCATTGCGCCACCGGGCTGGCCCCTATTCATCTTGTTTTTTTAATGCATTTCGAAGTAAACTGCAGACTTCCACCTAAATACTTCACCATGCATATACCCTTAACTAGAATTCGGTCTTTCACAGTTTTATTTCTGAGGTAAAATTAATATATAACGAAATGCATATACTTTAAGTACAAACCTATAAAAAAATACAAATAATACTCATCTATTTGAAAATCCTAGAGAGCACACATCCATAAGCAGACAAAATTAGGCACTTTTCAACCTGGCTCTCGTTTGCTTTTTCAGCTCCATCTCCCACTACCTTTCTTCTTACGCTGCTGTATAGGTTGGTAAAAATGATCAAATCTGACAATTTCATATGGCTCAATTTCAGTCATACCATAAAGTATGTACACAACAGTACTCTCAGGGGGGCATGCCCTAGCCCATGTGTCTTTTCTCTGCCTGGTAGGCATCCCTCCCTCTCCTTCCTACTCTGTGCATCCTTAGAGACTAACTCAGGCTTTTCTTCTTCCTCCAACCCAACTCCACAACCCACTTTCAAATGAATCTGAGTAACAGTCCCACCTGTGTGTTCTTATAGCATCTGCAGCTAATCATAATACTTATCACTTGTATTGCAATAGTCAATTTACTTGTCTGCCTTCCTTAACAGTCTGTAAACTCCTTGAGGCCAGGACTGTGTTAACTCCTAGCATAGTGCCTGGTCCCTAGGAGGTACTCAAATGCTTGCTACGATCACTAACACACAGCATCTCCTTTTTAAATATACTTTTGCTGTTCTTGTGAGAAACGGAGGTGAACAACTATGGATAAATAGTACTTCTGCCACACTTTGTAAACAAGAAAAACATATTTAATAAGTGAGACAACTGCACAACACCTTCTGAAAGTCACTTAATCTCTCTGAACTTCGGCAAAACGTCTGCTTAGGGGAAGACTGTGAGAATTAGAAGACATCATATAAAATTATTATTGTTAACATCTGAGAGCATACAATGTCCCAGGCTCTAATAACTTTTCATATATTAAAGTATTTAATCCTCACAAAACCCTACACAAGACACTTTTTTAGTTCCTTTTTTACAGATGAGGAAACCGAGGCAGGGAGAGGGTAAAATAATAAGATGGAGCTGGGATGCAAACCTAAGACAGTCTTGGGTCCAAAGACATGCTCTTAACCACTATACTATATTCTCAAGAAAACCAAGAACTAAAATATATGGCAGGCTACATCTGAAAAAGTTAGAGGGGGATACCGTGGAAGACAGTCCAGGTCAGGAAGCCAGGGTGGGAAACTGAGAGATCTATGAAGGCCTGGTCTGATGCCTGGCATAAAGGAAGTATTGAATATATAACAATTACTTAATACAGGGGAAACAAACTTGCATATATTACTCAGATTCAGAATTCAAAAGAGAATACAGGTGGGTAAATCTTGTTCAAAAGAAAAAAATCTATCTAATGCATCTATGAAAAGGGAAAGGCAACAGCCCCTATATATAATAAAGTTATGCAGTTGTATAGAAATTTATAAAGCAATGCAACCTCAGTGGACTGTCAAGGGCCCAGAGAGTACTAGCTGCCTTCAGGTCATTCCTGGCAGCTTGCTCATCAAATCCACATCGCAGAAGAAATACCAGCTGGCCCATCATTTTGCTGATTGTTGCCTCCCAACAGTTTTTCTAACCACGGTCTTCCCCCAGATCTGTTTGCCAATGACTGTCTAAAATCCAATCTGCCATGTATTTAATTGGTTTCCTGTTCTCACACCACACCAGGCACCCATTCCCACCTCATCTCTCTCCTTAAATCTATGTCTCTACTGGTAACTCTCCCACGTTCACATCCTTGCCCAGGACCAGACCCATTAACTACTACATCCAAGCTCCTCCAAAATGGTAGACAGCATCTGGGTGAGATAAAAGGACGACATCATAGTCAGGTGATATTTTTCTAACATAAACCACAAAGCTGGCACAGAAGCAGGAAAGAGACAGTGAGAGAAAGCTTCTACTGTAACAATTGCTTGGAGTCTAATTTTGTAGAGTAAAAATATCTTAGGCTAGAAGTTATCCAAAGTACAATTATGGCTGATTACATTAAGAAAATAATTCTCTAAGAAAATAGAGGAAACAAATAGCACTTGATACCTGTTGTGTGCTTACTTTCTACCACGCCCTGGGTGAAGTATTTCTCTTCATAATCATATTTTTGAATCCTCACAGTACCCTTATTTTGCAGAAACGAAAACGGAGACTTAGAGAGGTTGGGTAACTTGCTAAAGTCAAATAGCTAGAAAGTGTCAGGGCCTAGAATCCAATCTAGGTTTGTGTGACTCCAAAGCCTGTGCTCTTAACCATATGGCAAAGAACGAAACTGCTATTCAGAACTTGGTTCCCAACAGTAAAGCAGGAATTTGCTGGTGAAGTAAAAGCGACCAAAATTTTGAGAAAAGGAGGGAAATTGGAGGAAGAGAATGACGTCACCTTAGAACTGTAAACAGTAATAAAACAGAACAAAAGGTAGTAGAAACCTGGACTTCAGGACAATAGATTTCAAAGAGGTCTGAGACAGGGAGGTATGAATCTATTATTAAAAGACTATATAACCAAGGATGTACAAGAGATAAAAATCAGTGGAAAAGCATGAGAAAGGTAAAAGCTTAGGATAAGTTAAGTCTTACAAAAACAAAACAAAAACTAAGGCCTTAAAAAGAGCTTTTAAAATATTCAGAGAAAGAATAATGAATGAGTAGACCTGCATTGCCTAGAAAAATGATACACTGTTAACAGATGATGTAAGACAGAGGTATTCCTATTTTATTACCATCTTCTTCAACATTATCCTTAGAACGGAACAACAGAATAAACACTGACAAGAGAGACTTTAAGGTTGAGGTGGGTAGGACAGCCAAAGAATGGTTTTAAATAAGCCCAAGTTTCTAGTTCTAAGAGAATTATATTTCATGGATAAAAATCCCACAGCTACCATAGGTAAGTTGTAAAAGCCACACAAAGGGGCTGGCCTGGTGGCATAGTGGTTAAGTTTGTACACTCCGCTTTGGCAGCCCACAGTTGGCAGGTTCAGATCTTGGGCTATGCTGTAGAAGCATCCCACATACAAAAGTAGAGGAAGATTGGCATGGATGTTAGCTCAGGGACAATCTTCCTCACGAAACAAAAAGCCATAGAGAACAAAGGTAACAGAAGATGACTAACTTGTAAATGTTATATTTATTTTCTAAAAGGGAAAAATGATAGATTCCTGGAACTACAGACAAGTATACCAAAATTTCACTAAGGAAAAGCTATCGTTGAACTAACCTCATTTCCTGTTCGGAGAGGGTCACTCAACTGATACTTTGGGGAAATACCACAGTCATGCACCAAGATTTCATAAAAGGATCCAAGTTTCATCATATGGATGATGCTGACAAGCTAAGAACTATACAACTATATAGGTAAGAGAATCTGAAGTTGGTTGAACGCCCAGTGCAATTTCATTAATTACCAACAATCTTATTCGGCTTTTAAAAGATCAGGCGAAGGACCATGGCCCTTTAAGCATTTTATAAATGATTTAGAGTAATATTTTTCAAACTTCGATGTCTTTAAATAAAGATCTTTAAAACAAAACCTTCAATGTTCTTGACACAACAGACTTATCAAATATGCTGATAGCCAACTTAGATCCCTAGTAAGATAAATATAAAATCAAAACTCAAAATATGATCTAGAGCTAAAATCAACAATATGGAATTTGCATTTTAAAGGCCTGCTTTAAAAATTTAAAAACTTCAATATTCAAGTATGGATTGGGGTTTAATGTTAGCTACAGCAGATGTGAAAAAGATCTGTATATTTAAATTGCCCATGAGTTCATGAATCAATTAACTTTATATTATTAAAAATGCTAACGTAATCTTAGGCTGTACTGATAACAAAAGTACGTTACAATCAAAGAATGTAATATAACTGTGTTTCACGATGGACAGACCCTTTGGAAAATGATTTGATGCTTACAAAAAACATGACACTGCCTATTCCTCTTTGTTGCAATCATTTACAGAATCACAAGTTAATTCTCCCTCATTTTATGAAGATTTCAGCATCCAGTCCACTGTCTCTCACCAATACCATTCCTGTTCTAATTCTTGGTGGTTTCAATGTCCATGTAGATGATCCCACTAAAACACCCTGCCTCTCAGATCCTTGACCTAATTTTCTCCATGAACTTGTCCTTTACTCCTTCAGATGCCAACTCCATGGTCATACTCTAGACCTTTTCATTACTAACTGTACTGCCTCTCTATCTCAATTTCAAGTATCCACCTCCCATTACGCCTTCTAGTACCCTAATGCCAACAAACTTTTGAGTCCACTCAGAGTATATCATACTAATCTTACACCTTTTTTCACTGTCCCTCAAACCCACCTCCAAGCCCCCATGTCCTCCTTCCCCTCACCCACCATTCCATGACTGACCATTATCATCACTCTCTTACTCTCTTGACTACATCCTCAATTCTCTTGCCCTTCTTTCCCTCTTTTGTACTCGTCTGGCAAAACCCCACCTGGGTAAAATTCAACTCTTCTGGCAGCTAACCTCAAGTGAGCCCTTAATGCCACCTGGCAATACTGCCCCATTTCCCTAATCCATTACTTCTATTGCTGAATGACTTCATATCTATTCCTAGAACCTCCTCTCCAGCTTCACTCTCATGACTGTGCTCCCCAAATCACAGACAAAATGAATTAATATGAAGAGAACATCTACATTTTCCCTTCATCACACCTACAGACCTACTTCTATCCATAAACTCTATCTTTTCTCCTGTTACTGGATGAACTGTCTGTGCTCCTTAATCTTAACCTATCCACTTTTATACTGAATCCCAACCCCTCTACTCTGGTGCTGCAGAAAGACAGATATGGCCTTAATCTAAGAAGCACATTTTAAAAATTAGATCTGTCAAAAAACAGAATAAAGCACCATAAAGTAATGGCTATTTAACTATAAGATCCCTTTGATAAAAGAGATTTCTGTAGTAACTGGAAGTGCAGAAAATCACCCCTCGCAGCTCTAGGAGTCTATGGTTTTAGAAAATATAAAATGAAAAATATCCTAGAATGGGGCTGGCCCCGTGGCCGAGTGGTTAAGTTCGTGCGCTCCGCTGCAGGTGGCCCAGTGTTTCGTTGGTTCGAATCCTGGGCGCGGACATGGCACTGCTCATCAAACCACGCTGAGGCAGCATCCCACATGCCACAACTAGAAGGACCCACAACGAAGAATATACAACTATGTACCAGGGGGCTTTGGGGAGAAAAAGGAAAAAAATAAAATCTCAAAAAAAAAAAAAAATCCTAGAATAAGTTAATAGTATTAACTAGGATATACATACTTTTCTCACCCTTGGCAACCCCTGTTAAATTCCTCAAGGGTTTCTCTGTTGACTACAAGATAAGTCTTTGGGGAAGGAATAACAATGGAATGGAAGAATGATAGACTGCCATTTTCTACTACCGTTTAAAAACCTGTCTAGCCATTTTGTCTTCATTCTCATGCTGTTGTATTTCTAGAATTGCTACCTTAGAAACTCTCCAGGGAATATCTAATAGAAATGCATTTTCCAAGAAGCATGTAACACTATAATTTTTATAATACCCTTCACTAGGTACTGTATATAAACTAGATCATGGAATTTGAGCAATAGTATGTTCACTAATGGTATTTACCTTTTTATTATTTAAACTTTCTTCCGCAATTAACTAAGAAGGAGCATTAAAATGAAAAATAAGATGTTGGGTAAATGGGAAAGAGCATAAACAAAATTTTACTTATTGCTGGGACAACTCAGCAGGCTACGTATATTTACCTTTAACAATCTTCTTTGCACAGTCATTATACACTTGCTCTTGAGATGTATTTGACTGGAACACCCGATCAAATGCATAAGGCTTGGACTGAAAAACAGAAACAGAAGTTTCAACTACACAAATTAAAGGTGAATGAATATTTTTAAGCTCCTTTAAAGATGTCATCAGATATTTAACCTTCAAAATAGGATACCTACTACGCATCACTTCATGTCATAGAATCTTTGTGGAAAAGATCTTAGGGATCACCAAGTACAAATCCACTAGAATAAACTCCACAAAACCAAGAATGTCTGTTTTAGTCTCTGATGCAGCTCCAGGGCCTGGCACAGTAACTAGCACTACTATACTAGGCCCTCAAGTTTTGCTCAGTGAGTTTTTATTTAATGAGCATCTACTCTGGCAGGTCTTGAGACTATTTTCAATACTAATAGCACTTTGCAGATAAGGAAACTAACAGTCTTTGAAAGGTACAAAAGTCGTTAACGACAAAATTAAAATTAGAACCCAAATCTCCTTTCAGTTGAGGGCTCCTTCCATCACTCCATTCAGCTTTTCAGTTTATTCCAACAGCTTTTCAATCATTAATTCAATTAGCAAATATTTATGGGATGCCTATTTTGCCAGACACCATGATAGAATGACCAAGAGAAATTTACTCTCGACTTTAGTGGAACATAAGTAATAGCAGGTCAGACATCAGACAATTAAGTGACTCGAATTTTGACTTCGAATTCTCATAGAACAGGGTGCTATGAGAGCACTTAACAGGAGAGCCTGAGTCTGGGGAGAGGCAGAAGAATGTCAGGGAGATACTCTGGAGAAGAGATGTTTAAGATCTGAAGAATAAGTAGCACCTAGCCCACTGTCGTTCTCTTCAGTATTAGTCATGAGGGAGGGTGAGTGTGGGAAGTAGTCTAGGCATTGGGAATAGGATGATTAAAGATCCTAAGACAGAAAGGAGCTTGTAGCATTCAAGAAATAGAAGGAAGTTAAGTTTGAAGTATAAGGAGCAAAGATCAAATGCAAATGTCAACACAGTGAAAAAGGCAAATAACATCTTAGTGTTATTTTGAAAATAGTTTTCACTTTGTGGGCCCCCTGAAAGGATTTTGGGCCTCCACCCTTGGGGATGCATTTAAGGAACTGCTGATGTAGTTTGAGAAGGAGCCCAGAGGTGCAAAATAAAAAAAAAAAATCACTACAGACACTATAGAGTATAGCATGCATGCAAATCAAAGAAGAATTTTTGAGGAGGGAGTGACTGTGCCAAATATAGCTGTAAGGTCAAGGCAAAACTGAAAAATATCCAATGACAAAGGTCAGATTGGAATGCGTTGAAAAAAGAATGGGAGGTAACCAAGCAGAGCAGAAATCTGGCTGTCACTCTAAGGGAGGTATTTTTTAAAGATGGGCAAGACCGGAGTAAGTTTACATGCTTACAGGAATAATCTCGTAATCTAAGAGAGAAAGTGGGCATGTAAAGATGAGAGAGAGGGGCAAGGGGGTTCTGGGTATTTAAAATTAAGTGTCTCCCTGCTCTCTAGTCTCTTCTAAAGGAAAGGAAGGAAGCTGGGCTCTAAAATACAAAACAATCATGACTCCAGAAAAAAAAATCCTTTACATTATACAAACACTTCCTAGCTTTCAGCTAAAAAAGATCTTTTTAGAAGCTATATGCCATAATCCCCTTCCCAAAGCTTGGAACGACAGTAAGAATGAAGCCGACACTCTCAAAGGGCTATCCAAAGCCATTCCCAATTCCCCTTCCCCTTGCCACGGACCACTAGATAGTTCGGAAAGCTAACCACCTGCTAAGCCTAGTCTCCTTGCAACTAGTGGCCACATGACCCAGTTCTGGATACTAGCAAGTAAGTGATGGTCTGTTGGGAGGTCTCAGAGAAGGGTTTTGTTTTCCTGATAAAAAGGACCATCTCAGCTGAAGCTGCCCTTCTCCTTTGGGGAATGAATGCCTGGAGCTGTAGCACCCATCTTGCAAACATGACAAATATGATGATGAAAAGTCCTAACTAAGAATGACAGACGATAACGAGTTAGTAAGTAATAGCAATATAAAGGCTCATCTCCAGACTTTTTATATGAGAAAAATAACCTCTTATTTATTTAAATTGCTATTAGTTGTTTGTTTTCCTTCTGCAGCTGAGCACATTCCTGAAGGATATACTAAGATGACCTCACTTTGGTGTCTCAATATCTAATTATTCTTTGGCTATAACATACATAAAAGTGTCCTTTTGCTAAGATGCTATTGACACATTAATATTTAACACTACAGGTGTGGCTAAAAAAAGACAGTCCATTCTTTCACTGATTGTACAAGATGTGTTCATCATAAACAATTCTAAAAACAAATACAATCAAAAGAACAATAACCACCCAGACATAAATCATGCTAATATTTTTTCTATGCAAAAAGAAAGTTAATTTTCCCTCTTTATTTATCCAGCAAACATATATTTAGCACTTACAAAGTATTAGATATTGTAAATGAGTAAAAAAAAAAGTACAATTTTAGAAATTATACTTAACTAACAGAGACTGTAGAGTTCAAAGAATAGAAAATAAAGCTGGGAAAGTCTTGAGTACTAAGCTAAAAAGATGTATACTAGGATCTAATATAAGTGATCAAGTAACGATAACCAACTGAAATGGAGATAGCCTCTAGCGTTAAAGAACTCACAACCTGGTAAACAGTCAAGAAGAGATTGCAATTAGCCAAAATATATGTTTAATAACAGATGTGTAAAAAAATAGTATGAAAACAACAATTAAACTGATTAATTCTAATTTTGCTTGCAAGAAACAAGTTAATCAATAGAAAATAAGTAAAAGTATGAGTACAACTGTATCCCTCCAAAATGAGCCAAATAATAAAATTTTCTTAAACATTTAAAGAGTAGAAAGAACATAGACTACTGAGCTTTAAGTCATATCTCCATTTTCACATCAATAAAAAACAACGCTCATAAACCATTCAGAAAGAGATAAGCCAAAAATAATGGGCAATAATCAAGCCTGCCTCAAAAGTACTTTATGCAGCTGTTCACTCTAGCACCACTCCACAGCAGATACACAAACCACCACTACAACCTTACTAAAATAAGAATATGAACAGGCAAAAATAAGAATAATCAAGCAGGTATTGAGTGATTTTTTAAAGGTGTTACATCACCGTTAAATAAAAAATTAAGTGCTTAGCATTAAGTTGACAAAACTGTCTTAATCCCGAAACTAAATTATAACTTTATTAAATAAGGCAAATGTTTAGATTAGAGATCTAGCCATAAAGTTACTAACCGACCCTGGCTTTCTGGGATGAAAACAAGACTTCTAAAACATAAAGACTATTTCTAATGGTCTATAATTAAGGCACATCTCGTAACTAATAATCTGTCAAATAAATTAAACAAAGGAAAACAATATCTGGATACCTATATTTTAAGACCTTGGTTCTTTAAAAACCTGGCCTTGAAATGTACATTATGTAGCCTTTATTTCTATGAATATTCAGGGATACTCCAGGTCACAAGATGCATTCACATCTAACTTAGACTTTAAGAGGAC